CAATCACTTTCTTTCTTCTTCCGACAACTTTTTCTCATGTCTTTCTTCTTCTTTTCAATCACTTTCTTCTTCTTTCAATCTTTTCCTCATAATGTCTTTCTTCTTCTTGTTAGGTTTATACAACGTTCTACTCCGTGCACATAACTCCACTCGGTTTGTGCAAAAGTCTGGTTCTTCTCCATGAAATGGAGGCCGGAGAGGTCTTCTTCGAGAGTTCCTGTTAGCTGCTGCAGCCGATGCTGCTGTCTTTGCTGCCCCCTGTGGGTGAAACGGGGGAGACGCAGATGGTCCGTGCTGATGGCGCTCGATTGAGGACTTGTGGCAGACGATTTTGGCCAAATGAGACAGACAGAAGTTTTCTCGGAAAAAACAGACAAACAAGAAGCACAAACAAGTGTGTTAATTACCATACGAAACCAATGATTAATTACAATTCAAAATAAACCTATGAAATAATTAATATTAACATTTTAAACATTAAATTCTGAAAACCAATTCTGCATTCAACTGGTATCCTAAGCCCTACTTTTTCCAAAAGTATAATGCTCTCTAAGATCATTCTAACTTTTATATCACCAAAATGTAGGGGAAAAAAACTTGTCTAGACGCCTTGGAGATAAAAAATAAAAAAATGCCTCTTTATAATCTAACTCAAAGTTCTGTGATCCTATGACTCCATGTTAGTAACATTATCGTGTGTATAAATGTAATTTTCTACAAAAAATTCTTTCTTCACGAGAGAGAGAGAAAGACAGAGAGAGAGAGAGAGAGAGAGGAGGAAGGGGAGAGAGAGAGAGAGAGAAGACAGAACGAGGGAGGGGAGGGGCTTCTCGAACAAAGGAACACATGGATGATTGAAATACACCCCTTCTTTGCTACATTTTCCTCGTTTTTATCGTGATATGGTCTTAATCAGTGGTAAAAGTTTTTCTCACGTCAAACGACACTTTACATTTTATCCTTAAATACGTCAGTAATGGAAAACATTACCATTTGCTACATGATTAATGTATCGAGAGTTCCAGCAGAATCTTTTTTTTTTTTTTTTTTTACCTGATTCTCTGTAACTGTCGAAACATTACATCCCAATACAAGAGAAAAACTCCCAGACTGATCTTTTGTCATTTCTTCACATGAAAACTCATAGTTACAGCCAAGTGGCTCCCTTTTTTCTCATTAATCAGATCATTATTATCAGAATCCACATTTTAAATACTTGGCTTTTTTCTGTTTAAATGTACCCTTTTTTCCGCCCCCCGGGGGATATGGAGTTTTTATTATCCTATCACTTCTGACCCTAACTGCCCCTATCTCTCTAATCCTATTTATCTAAACACTTGTGCCTCTTTTGCACCTTAAAACGGTGTGCTTCTTTTGCACTTCTAAATCCTGTGGCTCTCTTTTCAACATCTATGTTCTGTTTTTTTTGGAGGGACCCATGCTTCCCCCAAGGTTAAAACGTCTAAACCTGACTATTGTTCTATCGCGTCCGATAGAACGCCCCGTCACGGCGGTCGTCTGGCCACGCTGCAATCTGTCGAGCCAAAATCTCTCTCTCTTCTATTTAAAACAATGTGCAGATTTCCAAAACTGTGATCCGCTTACCTTAGAAGCGACCTTTTTGAAGAGCAGAGAGATTTTTCCAAACCCACAAATCCAGTCTCTATAACTGAGCTCATCTCTGTCCCGCTCCTGCCCCGATCACGTCGGGGTCACCAAAATGATGTCAATAATTCCCTTTGACTGACGTATCCAAAGTCGATGCAAGAGCGAGACAAGAGATCTTCACGTTTAACATCTGCATTTAATTATCTTTACAATCAGATACAGAATGTTCAACAAAAGTGCTCCTATTCTAGGCCTGCTCTTTCCCTGTCCGTGCCCTGTCCTGTCTGACCTCAAAAAAAACACACAGGGGCTCATGAGGGAGACTTCCGATGACGTCATCCTTATGCGTCCAAGGGGTGGAGTTTCCGGGTGTGCTGACGTCCCTTGTCCACTGGGAGGCGTCAGAATGCAGTTGGTGAATCTCCCAGTCTGCCTCAAGATTCAGGTTCTGAACTCTTGTCCTCGTCAAAATGTTTATTATTTAAAGTTAATAATTCGCCCTGTTTAAACAGCATTTTATCTTTATGACTCATGACTGATTATCCTGTGTCCTTGGGGTTTTTCCTGAGTGCACAGAGGTCTTTCTGGCTATGATGTTCAAATGGTCAAATATTAAAATATACAACAGGACCAAGGACCAACTTTTGGACCATCCTGTAAAGACGTTTTCGAGAGGTCTGCCAATGCTATATGTTAGCATCGGCTAATTCTTCTTCTGGTCCACCCCTACAGGCCCGGGGTGGTATTGCAGCATGTCAGCGCACGTCATTTTGGCCACTTTTGAGCTGGGACCTGCCCACACTGGTCAGAACACACTCCCAAAACAGTGAATGAAGGTCACAGGGGTTGAACTTTGGGCTGTATCTTTGCTCAGATGTTCTCCGTCAGAGCCTCCGTCCTGGGCACATTTCTGATCCATTATCTTTATATTATATTTTATTTATTTGTTTTCACACGTGTCGTACTAACAGGAAATTAGACTTCAGAATAAAAGAAGCAAATATGAGAATAACCCTCAAGACATTCTGTTATTATAATGAGAACAATAATAATAATAATAATGGGCGACAGTGGCTCAGTGTGTAGAGCACTGGCCTTTGGGCCTGAAGGTTGTGGGTTCGAGCCCACCGTAAGACCTACTTCATGACTCCCACTGATGTCTGCTGTCGTTGTGTCCTTGGGCAAGACACTTAACCCCACTTTGCCTGAAGCCCCCGCTGAAAGATCTCAGCTCCTGTGGACTCACCACCTGCAGCAGGATCAGTGAGGGGCTGGTGCTCTGTGACTGGGTGCAGCTCTGACTGCCAACCCCCAAACCAGAAATGGATTAAGGGGAAGAAGTTGGATGGATGGATGGATGGATGGGTAGTAATAATAATAATAATACATTTAATTTAAAAGCGCCTTTCAAAACACCCAAGAACACTGTACAGGACATAATAAAAACATTAAAAACAGGAGCAACAGAATAAAACAGTAGTGCATTGTGTGTGTGTGTTAGGTGGGGGTGTGTGTGTGTGTGTTAGGTGGGTGTGTGTGATTGGTGGGTGTGTGTGTGATAGGTGGGTGTGTGTTAGGTGTGTGTGTGTTGGTGGGGTAGGACCATGGGGTAGGACAGTCTGAACAGATGGGATTTGAGTCTGTATTTGAAGAGTGGGAGAGAGTCAATGGTACGGAGGTCAGGGGGGAGAGCTGGGGGGTAGAGGCTGGAGGCTCTGTGTCCCACGGTGATGAGTCTGGCTGGGGGGACGAAGAGTGTGAGGGTGGAGGAGGAGCGGAGTGTGGGTGCAGGAGTGGCAGGGTGGAGGAGGAACAGGAGTGGAAGGGTGGAGGAGGAACAGGAGTGGAAGGGTGGAGGAGGTCAGATAGGTGGAGGAGGGGCAGGTTGTGAAGTGCTTTGAAAGTGGTGAGGAGTATTTTGAAGTTGATGCGTTGTTTGACAGAAAGCCAGTGGAGTTGTTGTAGTACGGGGGTGATGTGGTCAGCTGCAGTTTCTGGAGGGATTTGTTGGGGAGGAGAATGATGATGATAATGATGATGGTGATGATGATGATGATGATGATGGTGATGATGGTGATGATGATGATGATGATGATGGTGATGATGATGGTGATGATGATGATGATGATGATGATGATGATGATGATGGTGATGATGATGATGATGGTGATGATGATGATGATGATGATGGTGATGATGATGATGGTGATGATGATGATGATGGTGATGAGGATGATGATGGTGATGAGGATGATGATGATGGCGATGATGATGGTGATGATGATGATGGTGATGATGATGATGTGATGATGATGATGGTGATGATGATGGTGATGATGATGATGATGGTGATGATGATGATGATGATGATGGTGATGATGATTATGGTGATGATGATGATGGTGATGATGATGATGATGATGATGATGGTGATGATGGTGATGATGATGGTGATGATGATGGTGATGATGGTGATGATGATGATGATGATGATGATGGTGATGATGATGATGATGATGGTGATTATGATGATGATGATGAGGATGAAGATGAGGATGATGTTGAAGATGATGATGGTGATGATGATGATGAAGATGAGGATGATGATGAAGATTATGATGAGGATGATGATGATGATGATGATGATGGTGATGATGATGATGATGATGATGATGATGATGGTGATGATGATGATGATGATGATGATGGTGATGATGATGATGATTATGGTGATGATGATGGTGATGATGATGATGGTGATGATGATGATGGTGATGATGATGGTGATGATGATGATGATGATGATGATGGTGATGATGATGATGATGATGATGATGATGATGATGGTGATGATGATGATGATGATGGTGATGATGATGGTGATGATGATGATGATGATGATGATGGTGATGATGATGATGATGATGATGAGGATGAAGATGAGGATGATGTTGAAGATGATGATGATGAGAATGATGGATGATGATGATGATGATGGGTGATGATGATGATGATGGTGATGATGATGATGGTGATGATGATGATGAAGATGA